AATAATGTTACATGTATTCCTGATTTGCTTGGTTGGACTGGAAATAAAATTATCTGTTGTTTATCATTTATCTGCTCTGCTAGTTGGCAGTCAAATGTTGAGTCATGTTGGAGTTCTAAAGGAAGTTGGGGAACCAACATAATGCCTGTTTAGCTGATACGTAAATCATGTACTGCATGAAGTGTTAAATTTAAACAAAAATGTTTTAATAGATTTTTAATTAAAATTGTCAATCAGTTTTGATGTACCGTAAATATGTACTTGTTTTTTTTTTAAATATCAATATTTCATACATATTTTAACTTGCTTATCAGTTGCAGTTTATTGAATTTAAAATACTGTTTTTTAAAGTAATATATATATTAACTTGACGGAGAAAAATGTATACATTTCAGGGAGTAGCCTACGTCATGATAAGAAGATCTATAGAATGTAGATCTAAATCAAATGTGAATGTAATTGTTCATTTCTTCATATTCTAAAATTGGAAGAGGACGCCATTAGTATTGTTTTTTTTTCTGCTGTTTAAATTTGTTCCATTCGACGATATTATGTATTGGGTTCTTGTCATAACCAAATCCAGATGGTCAACTTGATTTCCAGACATTGACACTATCCAGATGGTCAACTTGATATCCAAACATTGGCACTATCCAGATGGTCAACTTGATTTCCAAACATTGTCACTATCCAGATGGTCAACTTGATTTCCAGACATTGTCACTATCCAGATGGTCAACTTGATTTCCAGACATTGACACTATCCAGATGGTCAACTTGATGTCCAAACATTGGCACTATCCAGATGGTCAACTTGATTTCCAAACATTGTCACTATCCAGATGGTCAACTTGATTTCCAGACATTGGCACTATCCAGATGGTCAACTTGATTTCCAAACATTGGCACTATCCAGATGGTCAACTTGATTTCCAAACATTGGCACTATCCATATGGTCAACTTGATTTCCAGACAGTGGGGAAATAAATGTTGGTCCTGCTAAAACGCCATACTAGTTTAGATTCATTAGACCAGCTCTTTGTATCTAGAGTAATAACAGTGGCATTTGGAAGGTGTGGATCGTTAGAGAGTTTGTTAACGACAAACCCCATCTGTTGTCACAGTTCTCTCAATAGTGCAGGAATGTTAAGAGCAATGAGGTGACTTTTAGTTAGCATTGGCTGCGTCTTTTTAAATCTTGTTCATGTGTCTCTGTCATTTTGGCCTGTTAGATTAAACAGTAACCATCGAATGTAATAAACATACACACGTGTTTTTTTTTACTGGACATTCAGGTATTTTACTTCAACGGTCAAGATTGTTGGCAAGTTAATCACTAAGACAGAGTTAACATAAAATAGTTTTACATTACTTATATTACGTGTATTTTATTGTCGAACGAAGTCTTTAGTAGGACAACTAAATGTACTATTTATTTCTCTACTGTATTTTTTAAAAATAATGTCAACATATTTTCACATACTTATTGCATTTTCTCTACACGATTACATAGTACTTTGGTATATCTAAAATTAAATGGTGTAACAACTATTAAATAACACTTTGAGAAAAAAAAAGAAGATTACATATGTGACATTCTTTTCAACAGAAAAAAAAAGAAACAAAATAAGAAAAGGTTAAATGTTAGAATTTATGTACGACTAAGTATAGAGCACTGCACAATTCTCCTAACAAAACACGTACATGATTTCTTCTATTCGCAAATAATTTACATTACCTATAATTATTTAGTCGTTGATAATAGATTGCATCTGATATAAACCTATCAGCGTTGTGAGCGAATTTTCAGTAAACTATTTTACCAGCCCTGATATAAACATATTGATGGTGTGAGCGAATGTTCAGTAAAATATTCTACCATCCCTGATATATTGACACCATCCAGTCGGAAAAAAAAGAAAAGGTTAAATGTTAGGATTTCTGTACGACTAAGAATTAGTTTAGAGCACGACACAAATCTCCTAACAAGACATGTACATGATTTCCTCTATTCATGATGTGTGCAACTGCATTTTCTTATTAACCACACAACAATGACAAAGCAATTTAAAATACCAATACATGTTTAGTCGTTGTTTTTAGCTAATGTCTGATATAAACCTATCAACGTTCTGAGCGAATGTTCAGTAAACTATCCTACCAGTCCTGATATAAAACAATCCTACCAGCCCTGATATAAGACTATCCTACCTGCCCTGATATAAAACTATCCTACCTGCCCTAATATAAAACTATCCTACCAGCCTTGATATAAAACTATTCTATCAGCCCTGATATAAAACTATCCTACCAGCCCTGATATAAAACTATCCTACCAGCCATAATATAAACTTATCCTACCAGCCCTGATATAAAACTATCCTACCAGCCCTGATATAAAACTATCCTACCAGCCATGATATAAACTTATCCTACCAGCCCTGATATAAAACTATCCTACCAGCCCTGATATAAAACTATCCTACCAGCCCTGATATAAAACTATCCTACCAGCCCTGATTTAAAACTATCCTACTAGCTCTGATATAAAACTATCCTACCTGCCCTGATATAAAACTATCCTACCAGCTCTGATATAAAACTATCCTACCAGCCCTCATATAAAACTATCCTACCTTTCCTGATATAAAACTATCCTACCAGCCCTGATATAAAACTATCCTACATTTCCTGATATAAAACTATCCTACCAGCCCTGATATAAAACTATCCTACCAGCCCTAATATAAACTTATCCTACCAGCCCTGATATAAAACTATCCTACCCGCCCTGATATATTGACACCATACAGTCGGTGACAATACCTTCCAGAGTTGAAGTCCATCAATGTGTATGCTGCTATATCATATATCATATGTGGGGAAACTCAGCTAGGCTCTCTATATCAAGTTTAGCGGGATGGGGGGGGGGGGGGGTGGCTTGTTAGCGTCGTATCTCGTTAGACATTTGGTTGACCATTTCCCCATAGGTTGCCCCTGCTCTTTCATTCATTTAGGAAATATACTAGACGTTCAATTAACAAGTCCGTGTGTTTTTAAGTGGTATGTAAATTTAAGCTACTTTTTTTTTTATACTGACTGTGTGCAGTGGTTGATTAAATCGAAAAAAAAATCAACTGTATGTTTAAAATATTATTTTTAAAATATTATAAAATTATAAATTGTAGTGAATTAAAGTAAACTATATGTATTCCTTTATGTCTTTTTATTTACTAAGATATTAAAATCAAGATGAATACCCTGTAGACTTTGAATTATTTTAATTTTAAATAAAAATGTGCCGATCACTTATCATTTCTTTTTCAGAAACAGTAACAGGGAGATAACAAGTTGATTCGTATAACCAGTTGTATCAATAGATGTTTAAAACAATATACATAATTAAAAATATCCATTTTATATCGATCTATTATTTTTTTTATAGTTTTAAATTTTAATATTTTAAACATATTTGTATTTGTTAGAATTTATCAAATTAAAAACGCAAATGAAAACATTGAGATACATTTTTTAATTGTTTAAAAAAAAAGACGAGCAATCCTGAATAAGCAATATTCATAGACATTTTACGTTTGTTGAATTCTATTTTGACTTCATTGTTAACATCTATTTATTACACGAAACTTTATATGCTGCTGTTATTTATGAAGAAAAATAAATAAAAATGTTTTATTAGCATTAGCTGAAAGTTGTTTCCCATTTTGTAATTTTTATTAATCAAGGGATGTTACTTACAAAGCTGTTAAAAAAAATAAATAAACGATAACAACATTGCACAAACAAAATATAATCTGATTGTATCTTTATTGACCATAAAATTATAAAGTTATTTTAATGTTTCTGATATGCAAAGTTTTACATTTGTAGGTTTTATCATTATTAAAATAACGTAGACGGAAAGTAAAAAACGATAACTGTCTTTAAAGCTATTTGTGTAGACTTGAGAACCCTTCTGCTATACCTGTGATGTGCTAGTGTCCATTTTTTTGATTGAATTCCAATAGAAAATTGGCCTGAAGAAAAACCCAAAACTGTCTTTGGTCAAGTGCCAATGCTGAGGGTGATGGTGTGCGATATGCTCAGAGTGTAGCCATTGAGGCATACTTAGCCAGAGAATTAAATTTATAGGGTGAGTCAAATTTAGACCAGCTGAAGATAGATCAAGTTGTTCAACTTAATCAGGACTACAGAGCTAAAGCAGTGACTGGACTTAAAGAGACAGATGAAGCACGAAAGGCTGAGCTGATTAAAAAAGTGAAAGAGGTGGAGTCCCCCCTGTATCTGGGATTCCTTGAGAAACTCTTGAAAGAGAATGGCACTGGTTATTTTGTTGGATCATCCCTTTCCTATGCAGACTTAAGCACATACGACAATACGCTTTCTCCGTCCGAGGTCCATTACTCAGCAGACCTGGGGATGACTACCCTCTCCTGAAAGAACTCTTCAACAATGTTGAAAATAATGAGCGCATCAAAGCCTACCTGGCCAGCCGCAAGCAAACAGATATTTAACCAGCTGGTTGCCAGATATTTATGTTGTTGAAATTGTTTTTTTCTTTCCAATCATGTTAATAAATTGTTGTATTAGCATTCCTTCAACAGTAAAAAGAAACTATGCATTTAATGATTCTTTATCTGTTTGCTTATTCTACTGTTAAAGCATGTGTTTCTGTGAGTTATACTTTCAGATACTCTCCTATTGTTAATTTGGTTGTGTAGTTCTTTCTGTTATTAAAAGTGTATGTTGATTTTGAAATTGTATGAAAGTCAAGAATGCTTGTATAAAATTTTGATGCAGAGTTTATTATTAAAATCATTTAAAAATTCGATGTTTTGTCAAATTTTAACATTAAAAAAAGATTGTATTGTTATCTATCCAAAATTCCAAGGCATTAAAATGAAGAAATGTGAAAAAAAAAAAAAAAAAAAAAAATTGTTCCATTTTACATATTGCATGTCCAGCAAGAAATAAAATAAAAATGGCGACTGCCGATGTCGCTTGGTTGATCTTTAGGAACAACTCTTCTACTATGTTGAAGAGGAGTAGACAGAACACGTCTCTTGAACTCAACCTTAAGAGCCGCAACTCTTCCCGTTACAATGGTCTCATTCATCGCGAGACAGTTGGGGTTGAACCCACAAAAGATGGCAAAGGTGTTGTGTTGGTTACTCGCAGAACTAAAGACCAGAACAAGTCCAGCAAAAGTCTTACTAGAGTTGAGCTAAATAAGGGCCCAAGACGTACAATCGCATCCATTCGTGCCATCTTGCGAGCCAACAACTATAGAAAGGATTTGATTAACCTAACTGTTAGAAGAACCTGTGCTATTCTGAAAAGTCAGAAGCCTGTTGTAATTAAAAGAAAAAAAAAAAAAAAGAGTAACTCTATGGGCCATTAAATATCCAAACACTAAAAAAAGTTTCTTTTTTTTTTTAGTTTAGTACACAATCAGTACTACATTAACATATAATGAATTCCACTGTAAGGTATAACTTCATCAACACATCGAACTGTTTTCGTTTGCAAAATAACACAATCAACAGCATGAAGTTTTCGTTCTGTAAGCCGCATAGATCCCCCATTGAACCAAACATTACCTGCTTACTATGGTATACACACATCACGTATTCAAGCTCAGTCGTTCTTACACTAGTTACTTGTGTAGATTGATCTAAAAAAATTGCTTTCATTTATTATCAATTCAGTAAAATTATATCAATACATATAATATTTAACATTGTATAGATATTAATTCATTATCAGCTTAAATCAACAATGCATGGCTAAATAATCAAACCAAATTATCATACAAGTATGTCCATTATATCACACGATCCAGACAACGTCTATGTTAGACCTTTGCCAGACATATGCTGGGCCTGTTAGAGATATGGGAAAGACACCATGAGACACACGTAAGATATCATGAAATACAAGTAAGACACCATGACACAAGTAAGACACCATGAGACACAAGTAAGACACATGATTAATACCTACCAGACACATGTAAGTTGATTTTCGGTGGAGTTGGTTAATGGAGCTGAAAAAAATTTGGGATTAAAGTAAAATTATTTTACAACTATTTATAAAAAAAAATGTCATATATCATAATCAGCCGTCACACAATACAACAATAAAGGTTATACATACTCGAATAGATGACTATCATTTTCTTCTTCAAGTTTTTATTTAAAACTCAAAAATTAACGCCGTCACTACTTATGATCTATCTGTTCTGTTACTGTCACTGTAAAGGTTGGATGTGTTTCTTGTATCTCATCTCACACCCTGAGTGATCTAAGTGTTGGATGTGTTTCTTGTATATCAGCTCACACCCTGAGTGGTCTAAGTGTTGGATGTGTTTCTTGTATCTCAGCTCACACCCTGAGTGGTCTAAGTGTTGGATGTGTTTCTTGTATCTCAGCTCACACCCTGAGTGGTCTAAGTGTTGGATGTGTTTCTTGTATCTCAGCTCACATCCTGAGTGGTCTAAGTGTTGGATGTGTTTCTTGTATATCAGCTCACACCCTGAGTGGTCTAAGTGTTGGATGTGTTTCTTGTATATCAGCTCACACCCTGAGTGGTCTAAGTGTTGGATGTGTTTCTTGTATCTCAGCTCACACCCTGAGTGGTCTAAGTGTTGGCCAGTGCGCATGTCATGGTAGATTGTTTGCAAGTAAAACTAAAGACCTAGAGATTGTGTACGTCTCTTATTAAACAAGATTCCCGTTCAAAATGTTACATCAGTGTAATATCATCAGGACTGTGTTGACATCAGATGGTATATAAGTGGTAGGTGCGGGGTGATGGGTGGATGGGTGATAGATACATGAGTGGTAAGTGTGGGGTGATGGATGGATGGGCGATAGATACATCAGTGGTAGGTGCGGGGTGATGGGAGGATGGGTGATAGATACATGAGTGGTAAGTGTGGGGTGATGGATGGATGGGTGATAGATACATGAGTGGTAGGTGCGGGGTGATGGGTGGAACGGTGATAGATACATGAGTGGTGAATGATAGATGGATACAATAATGGCCCTCACACAGACAAACTTGAAATCAATTAAGACACATGCAAGACACATGTAAAACACGTTTAAGACACATTTAAGTCACATTGAAGACGCACAGTCACATTTCGATTGTAAGATATATTAAACACATACATGATTTAAATGTGTATGTTAAAAAAAAACAGTTGTATTAATGCAATAACTATCAACTTCGTATGAGATTGTATCGGGAAAATGGCAAGCTGCTATAACTTTACACGCGTCTAGCTAAGTACTGGTAGGATTTCAATTTAATTATGAAATAACAGTAGAAATGACGTGGCTTACTAATGTGATAAATATCATACAGTGTTACATTCATTGAAAATATCACATTATATATATTAAGTAATTACACAATTAGGCTATAATAAATGGTTCTTATAATACTACCGTCTTATTCGAAAACTTTTCAAGGGCGATAACCCTAAATATAACTTCAACATTACTTGATATCATTGAATTTTCTTTTTACATACTAGATAAGGCCAGTAGTTTCACACAATCAGTTATCAAAATATGTTTTGATGCAAGCAAACAGTTTTAGCTTTATTCTTCTATGTGTCTTTAAAAAATAGATTACTAAATTAATTACAAAAACAGTGGCCAAGCATTATACATATATCGAAGACAATCGATTGGGTAACTTAAATTAGTGTTCTGTGTTGCTTCGTGAGGATGTCCTATATACTTTAAAAAAAAAAAACCAAAAAACCAAAAAAAAAAAAAAAAAAAAAAAAAAAAAAAAAAAAAAAATAATGTCAAAAATTTAATTTTAGTCTTATTTAGTGGGCGTATATTTTAGTGCAGGGGTTGGCAACCTGTTGGTACCGAAGAGCCAAAAGTTATAAATTACCAATCATCCCAGTTTGTGAAGAGCCACTATTATTTTAGTTTCAAAATTATGATATTTGATTATATATAAATAAATAAATAAAAACATATATATATATATATATATATATATATATATATATATATATATATATATATATATATATATACATATATATATATATATATATATATATATATATATATATATATATATATATATATATATATATATATATATGTATATATATATATATATATATATATATATATATATATATATATATATATATATATATATATTGCTTTAAACATGAAAACATATTTATTCAAATAAAAACACATATTTCGCTGAAAAAGAAGTATTAAAGTATTGCGTTTAACTCTGCTAGAGAAATAAAATCAGTAATCGAAGTATATAACTTTAGTTATTAAATACTATTGACAACAGTTTCACCTTGCATGCCTTTTGCTAAAATACAAGGTTTATTATAAATTATATTGTAAAAATAATTATTATACATAGAAATAAAGGCATGCTTTGCTGTGAAATTTAGTTATTATTTAGAGTTTCTGAACGGTTCATACATTAGCCCTCATAGTCTGAATATAATCATACAATGAGAAACAACTTTTAGATAATACTAAATCAACAACTTCATTTATTGCCTCAATGTCTGAAAAGCAAGTTGATCGAATAGTAAAGGCATTTTTACATTTTATCACAACTCTTTGAAGCTCTGAGAAATCAGGCAATCGTAACTCAATATTTTATACCCTTGCTTAAAGACCCATGTAATTTTTTTGTTTCTAATGGAAGAAACAATTAATTTAATTTAAAAAAAAACAAAAAAAAAAAACAGGAGAAAAAAAACAAACAAGAGATTGATTGCTGCTTTAGTATATGAGGAGATTGCTCATACTCTGTTGCACTGCTATGTATGTATCAAGTAACGTGGGCTATGAAATGTATAGACATTATCTAATGTGTAAGGTGGTTCGACATTATGTTTTACTGTTATTTTCCTAAGTTTTAGAGTATAGTGCTAAGTACGCAGTACATGATTATTTTGATTTCACATAGTGCTAACAACACAATACATGCGACAACACAGTACATGTAGATTTCAAGAACATGGGAGATAACCTTGTAAATAAAAAAAAATAATAGTTATCTCTCGATCAGAGGACCGTCGATGCTGAACTGTGTCTAGTTTACGGTTGGTTGATTCTATTTATACGTATTATGAGATGGTAACAAAACAATAATTTTACACTCATTAATTATAAACCAAAGTCTAGAAATTATGTTCGTGTGTTGACTGCTATTAAAAACTGCTGTAGTTCATTACAACATTTTACACTTTATCATTAAGCCTTTCCCATTTAATAGTTCTTTAACTGTTTCATTAAATAGTCGTTAAAAAGAAAAGCATTTCTATCGTATTTGATTGTAAATGATAATTGCTTCAGTTTGTATTTCTAAAATTTTAAAACATTATCTACACTTAACACTTTACCGAATGCGTTGATCAAACATATCTACAATGGTCAACTTGACGGCCATGTTCTCCAGTTATTAAATAATTCTAAGCCCTACAGTATGCCACACTAAAATCTCTCACTGTAAGCTGGCAATACACTAAATGTCTTATCAAAGAAGCGAAGACAGCAAACTTTGGTAGCCGTTGTTCATGATAAGTATATGAACGTGAAAAATTCAAGGATATAAAATATGAACACACGAATAAACAACCTGTAACAGTGATCATCCATCACATTGTAATTTTAAAATAGTTGACACCCCGTGTTGTCAACTTGTTTTATTTTATCTGTATCTTTTTATTTCAAGCTTAAGGAATACTTAGTCGTATACGTTTCAGTTAGATAAAAAATATAGTGTTACCTTGTTTAAAAACGGTGATGCTGCTTTATACATATTTTAAAGACCAGCAAAACATTCGGTTAAACTATTACCATTATCGCTATCACATGTTGTCTTTTTTTTTCTTGCAATAAAAAAAAAGCTTTAGCGACCTTTAAAAAGCAACGTATATTTAACGTAATATCAGATGGTTGTGTATGGGGAGTGTATCACATTAAAAAGATAGCCAAACGTCATTGCTGGACAACATATGCACTAAGCTGAGCCAGAGATAGAAGGGGGGGGGGGGGTCTGTGCTCAAAGTCGGAAATGGCATTTTCATAGAGCCGTAGTATTCCATCTCCTTTTGAACGGATAGAATTTCTTACAAATTACAGAAGCCTTAGAATTGATGCCATATTTTTTGTTGTATAACTCTTGAGTCCCTATTCAGTGGAAACATCACCCGTACTTTTCTTTGTTGATTTGCTATAACAACATATTTGCCGACTCTATAAGTCACTCTTGTATAATGTATTTAATTAAAGGGCATACACGAGTCTACAGTCACACCTTGTATTTCAAGTCCGACCCACATAATGTGCGTAAATATACGCAGTAGTGTCCCAATGTTATATTGTA